AACGATATTCAAAGTGAAGGTAGCGGTCTTTGAGGGGAACGGTAGTTGTGACTGCTGGAGCTCCAGACATCTTTGCATCCATTAATGCACACCGTACTTTCCTAAACTTAGTTTGATGATCTCTCTCAGCGGCACCATTTTCTTCTGGTGAATATGGTATAGACTTTTGATAGGTTATACCCTTTAACTTGCAGAAGTCATCTAATTCTTTATTGACGAATTCAGTGCCACCATCACTTCGAATAACTCGAATCTTGATGGCGCCTTTCCTGTCCAAGTTTTGAACAAGGTTTCGAATGTTTTCAAACACCTGGCTCTTTTTCTTGAGTATGAAACACCAACGCCATGACGTGGCATCTTCAACAATATTCACGTAATATTTCATGCCGAGTTTACCGGAGTATACTCCCTTCACTTTCATTGGTCCATTTGTGTCCATATGGACAGTTCCAATTTCTCGAGAGCCTCGAGCATTTCGGTAGGACATTCGGCGCATTTTCATTGTAGCGCAGACCTTACAGAAGAAAGGGATGCTATTGAGCATACTACTTTGCAGCTTAGGTAGTCCTTTGACAAGACCACTGCTTAGCATGGTAATCACAGCTTCACGGCCCATATGACCGGTCCTTATATGCCATTCTCTAAGCAATGACTCAGCACGAGATGCTGAGACATGCACTGTTGGTGTTACAGGTGTACACTTTGCAGTGTGACAGAATAGAATACCTGCCTTTGCTTGAGGTTGTGGTGACGAACATAATATGTTCCGTTCACAGCTATTGCGGTGAACATCAGATGTCCTTCCTTAAAGACGAATTTATATGGGCCACTAAGATCATCTATTATGTGATCGCCTTGGCGTTTCAGCGCATTCGCGCTTATAATATTGGACGTGGCATTGGGCATTAAGCACGTACTACTCTGGAAGAAAATATAAGTCACTATATAATGGTGCATAGTTTTTTCAAAAATTGACCAAACTGTACGGATTCGATACGAATAGAACAATCAACGCAAGGCGAATCCAATGCGTCAATCTATTCGTGAAAAAAGTCAGCAGGAAGAGTGCTAGCTAGAGTCCAGCCCATATACTTTATTCCATATTAAAATATCCGATTCCAGTAGTAGTACTACTAGTAGTGACATTAAAAGTAGTTGGAAAGAGTCGAGTTAATGCAATTTGGACAGTGGAAAGCATAAGCGAGTGTTGTGAGCATTAATATAATGCATTCTTCTTGATACTAAATAGTACTTCCTCTGTTTTGCAAATATTGCAAGCAGACATTCCGTCCTTTAGTAAATCTAAGTATACCGAATCAAATTATAATAAATTTATGGAACCATATGGTATACCCAGCTCTGATAGGTGCACACTTTCACTGCAGCTTAAGCCTTCATTGTTTCTATGCTTGTGCTCAATGGGCTTGAAATCCTATAAATGAATTGTAATAGCTTACTATGAGATGTCGAAGTCCTTCTAAATACCCATTAAAGGTTGTGGTTGCATGCATGCGCCGTGTAAACTGATCAAGTCCCTAGGTTGACTGAGAAGTGTTTAGCGATATCACGCTTCAAGAGGAAGCGATTGCAAGTGATTTGAAGCGATTTGGAAAGAAATGAGTGAGTTACGAATGTTTCAATATTTTGCTCACTGCCGTGCAGTACTTTTGGGCATGTGTCTCAGCCAAAACATCCAATAAAATTGATTGAAAAATTGGTCAAGATAGGCCTTTTCATATTGGCTGTGAATTGAGCATACTTGGAGGTTATTTTGACTTATTTCGCATTCGTCCAGGTATTTTCAAAAAAGTGTCAACAGCATTTGCGAACAGAGGAAGTATAGCTGAACAGTTACGTCCGAAGTCGAGATGCACCACGCGAATTAACGCAGGTTTCAGCACGATGTCAAGAGGAATAAACCCGGTCAACGCGGGTAATGTTCAGCACTGACCTTTGGTGACAGCATAGTATTGCTTCCAGTAACTAATGCAAGCAAACTAGTACGTCGAATAGGCCTGTAAACAATAGTACTAGTATTGGCTTGGTCATATCGCTTAGTAATACTATCTACGGATACCGTAGTTGATTTGTTAAGTGGAAACTTCTGCGACATGTCAATTGATGGATTCAACAAATTTCCTAATGCAATTTAGAAGTCAAATTGGATACATAGGCTCAATTCCGCTAAATATATGGCATTCTGTTTAGAAGTAAAACACTTCGTACAGAGATGTTTAATGCATACAAACTTCATGGTATAGAAATGGACTTCTACTGAAACGTTCAAGTTCGGTCCCAATTCAAATGTTTCAAAACCTTTCACAAGTCATTTCGTCAGCTCGTTACCGAATAATTCCCTGATAGAAACGGTAGTGTTACTCTTTCAAATAAACCAGTACTTTGTGTATACATACGAAGCACAATGTTAACGTTATACCCGGGTTAACCTCAGTGATGAGTAATCTTATTCACTAGATGTACTTACAGTTAACCCCGATTACTAAGTATTATTTTGTGCTCATACTCATTTGGCTATGGTGCAAAACGAACTAGGCTGTAAAAATGTACATCATGGTATGAGGGAATTATTCGTTGATCAAACAAGTTCTGCCATACATAATATTTATTAAGTATAACAGGTAATTCAAGTCTCTCGGGCACCTGCACATTCCGATAATCAGAAATATTTGATTATGGAGGAACTAAAAGTTCCCACTTAACAAATCAACTACGATACAGTAGTACCTTGACAGTGTGAAGTAAAGTAATACAAATCCTAGTATAATTAAGTACCACTGTACTATACTTCCTTATATTTTTGTCCAAGCGGACAGTGGACTTTTCCTTATATTTTCTTCCAGAGTATCATTTAGTGTAATGCGCCGTATCACCTTATCAGTTCCCATTAGGAACAGCTGTACTGTGCCTATGAGAGTACGACCCAGACATGACCCTTGTCCGAACTCAAAGTCGTAGTCATCATTAGTTATAGAAGTACCCATACCACAGCCGGAGTCCAACACCTACCTAGTCACTAGTGTCAATGGTGTTAGACCTATTAAGTAGATACGGTGCTAGGCGGCTTACCTCCACTTCCATACGTGTTGTCTGGTCCGCTGTCCGGGAACGTCCATGTCGGGGATCGCCATCGAACTCAGGCGTGCTGAAATGTTCCCGGAACATTCCGTGTCACTCTCGGGTTGGCTATCCGGATAATCCGACTTGGCGGTGGATGATTGGCCAGACCCATTTTTTTCCCACCTTTGATTGGCTATCCGGATAACAGGATTTACTTGCCGTTGCTTGGTAAAAACCATTCGCTGTTTGGTCGGAAGCACGATGCTTTGATTGGCTCAAATTATTGACCAATAAGGTGCCACCTTTGGCCGTTGCAGCAGTGTTGGTTGACACCTTGATTCGCTTTGCAGGAACCTCCTTGAAGTTCTTGCGCGCGATCCCTTTACTGAGGTCGTTCTTAAGCAAGGCGCAGTCGGCCTTAAGATGGCCTTTGCCGTCCACGTTAGCGGTGCCGTGACAATAAAAACACTCCGAGTAGGCAGTTCATTTTCTCTTATTAGCTTGGTTACGGTGAACCTTAGCTTGGCTGACGTGCACTTCACGTTTGGGGCGCTTGCTAGACATGTTTGCTATAGCCTCACTAGACTTGTCGCTATACACCTGCTTCACTAGTGTCTCGATGGTAGACAGTATAAAACCGTCAGTAGTTTGGTTCACATTAGAGATTTACAGTAATGAACTCGGAATATCTGTTATGTACAGTCAACGACAATTTTTAAGGGACACTTCATGCTTCGAATTTCTGATCAAATCGGAATATGATTGGCCAAGCTACTTCGAAATTCGGCATGAATTGTGCCCAACCAAACAACAGACGATGAACTTCCGAGAATTTCAAGTACTCGAACATTTTAAATTAACGGTTCGATGAAACGACTACAAAGATAAGCGTTTGACGCGATAGACAGTGGTAAAACCGTTGTGTGTCTTGAGTGAGCCCCGAGCTCGAGTCCCGGGCGCGTCGAACTTTTTCCCGAAATACAATTTAAAGACAAAAAACTCTTTTATTGAGGAATAGCCTTGGTGAAACTACGACGGATTTCCGCCGGCGTAATACGACCTCATGCCTTTATGGCACGATGAATCATAGTCAGACGCTTTTGTTGCACCGGGACAGTCATGAGATCTACATCTTCCTCGCTATCGCTACCCTCGATGATTTCTTCCTCCAACCACAAACTACGCAAGTGGCGCTTAAATGGGGCCATAATCCCCACGTCCAAAGGCTGAACAACGCTTGTTGCATTTGGTGGAATGGCTGCCACGACACACCCGGCCTCCTCACTGGCAATCTTGTGTCCTTCCTTGCTCACGTGGGGTTCGAAATTGTCAAGCAACAATACCGACGGCTGCCGAATCTGTGGTTTCAACACCTTGCGCAGGTAAATTGCCCAAACACGCGAGTCCATCCACGCGCTCTCTTGAACCGCGTAGTGGTGGCCAACAGGGAAGGAGTCGAATTCAACCTTCTCGATGTCACCGCCGGGCTTGCCGCGCATGATAAACAGTATGGGCAGCTTCTCCCCGTTCGCTCGCACAGAAAGCACAGCCGTCATTCGATACGAGTGTTTCTCGCCGGTGGCAATCTTAGCTATGCTACCACGAACCGACCAGATGGCGTTGGGTGGCATGTCGTATGTCATTCCGGTCTCATCGACATTGATGATCGAGTCGGAAGCGAAGCCGTTGAATGCCTTCTGGAAGTCGGCTGCAAACGTAGCCCTCGTTGTTGCCAGCTCCACTTGAGACTTCTTCGACCTCGCTGGCTTCTGTCGTGAAGCCATGGCGATGGCAGAACCGCTGGAGCAGTTTCAGCAACGATTGGTACCCACAGTTCTTCTCCGCCAAGTAGGTGGCGAGCCACGTTCTGTTGTTGCGCTTTAGGAAATTGACAAGGTGGGTGCACGTCAGCGCTCTCTCGTCATCCCACAACTTGTGCATGAAGCTTTCCAGCGCCGCGCTGTCAGGGATTTCTACGGGACGGTCAGCGCCGTCCAGGTTGTAGCGCTTCAATGGTCCATTGACATTGAGAAGCTGGTGGGCCTGCTGCACCCATCGGGCAAGGTTGCTCTTCGGTATCCCCGTCGAGGCCTCAAGGTCACGTGTTGACGCTGAATGCATCCTGACGACCATGGCAAGCTTGGTCGCACGAGTGTAGCGCTGTCGCTACTACTAGAGTCATCTTACAAGAGGCCGATGCCATGTAAGATTATGCTGAGGAATATAGGTCTTCAACGACCAATTTCCCGAGTGAATTTGGTACTCGAAGTACTGGTAGTTAAGCAACTTCAGCAAGCTTACGGGGTTTCCACGGCTCGTGTATCGTGAGCACAATGGATGTATTAATACTAGTAACGTTAAAGCGATTACAGCGGTGCCAACTGTCGTCTTAATCGACGTCTAAGCGTACTACCGTATACCCCCCGCTTCAGTACCTTTGAAAATGACGGTGAAATCTGATCAAAACCAGTACAGCTCCAAACGGTAACACGAAAACATTGAAGATAGAATAATACTTGTTTATTGGTCAAAATTCACCAGCTCTACTACAATTTTATTGGACAAGGCAATCCCGCCTAAAGTCCCGCTTGATGCAAATTCACAGCTCATTTGATCGTCATGCCACCACGTCCAGCGCGCACTGCAGGTCCACGAAGATTAATGAGCTTAGACAACAAGATACGAATCGTTGCGGAGCACGCAAAGTCTGATCAAACACTGTACGCCACAGCGTAGAACTACGGCCTTTTCCAAGTGGGCAGCTGTCACGTTGGATTAAAAACATAGCACTGCTCAAACTGGCTGCCGCCCAACGACCCGGAAGATTGACAGTTAATCCTGGCCCACCTGTCAAGAATCCAGACGTGGAAGCACAGGTCCTGGTGTACTATGACACTTTGCGTGAAAGCGACATAGCTGTGAGCACCACCATGCTCACCATGAAGGTGCTTTGGACGTTGGCATCAACAAGCCGTTCAAAGACCGTATCCGACATGCATACATGATGTGGGCCGCTGCCAACATGGTTGGAAATGAAGTCGTGCAATTACCAAGTTGTGAAATCGTGTTACAGTGGATCGAGAATTCCTGGGCTGAAGTAACTCCTGAAGTGACCTGCATGCGTGGCGAAAATGCGGTTATGGAATTGTAGCATGATGTCATCACAATAATCAAAAAATTAACCTGACATCGTACTGTGATATTCTTGAATATGGTCGAGCAAAATTGCTTTCACAATTCCCATGTTGCGAGCCGAACGACTGCGTTTCGCGCTGCTTGCAGACAACCGATAATCCTCAACAACGACGGCAATCTTGTCTTTCAGTTGCAACTTATTTGACACGAGTCGCTCCGGCAGGAATCCTACGTGACACGTCATGTCTGTCGCGACGAGGCGGTAGACCTTCATAACATCGACGAGGTCTCCAGCTGGGTCCTCGACGACATCCAGCTTGAAATCCAAAAGGTCGTCCACCGTAAGGCTGTCGCCACAGATATCTTGACTTGTGCATGATCTTGTTCCATCCCCACTTGCCACCCCAACGACGTCAACGGCTTTCACCTACTTCACGTCATGAGCACCAGATAAGTTAGTGTAAATTGGAAATAACCTATGTGACTTCCAATAAAACTAACCACTTGGTTAGAGATGGATAGGTTCTCCCCAAATAACTCGATCTCTAATGAGATTTATAGAAGAATCAAGCTTGTTAGAGTCTACAACTTCTCTCAAGAATCTTCAGCTTCTGGCAAGAATATCCAACTGCAACCATGATGAGTACAACTGTTATACTTAAACTTTGTATGCTTTGGTTATCAGGATCAGTTTGATCGGTATGTCAACACACACTTACTTCCTCCAGCTAGATTACTGGTATGACATAACAGTGGTTAGCGTTAGGTAAGCACTGGTGATGCAACATAACTCCGGGAACAGGCATTAAACGAAAACCCAAGTGGTTTTGGGACACGCATTTTATGTAAACACAAGGGGTTTTGGGGTTCCGGGGTTCCAAGGGTACGGGCAAATGCGTACGAAGCTGGAAATGGTAAGGTGGATAGTAACGTATGCGACATGTGGATAAGTTGAAGTTGTAGATTCTGGATTCTGTAATTGTAGATTCTTGAAATGCTGTTGTAAATTCATAGACTTTCACCTCCGATTTGATGTGTGTGTGATGAACGGTGCATTATTACAGTATTCTAATAATGCTCGTGTATCCCCCAGTTCGTAAGTGCGAACTAAGTCGCACCTAAGCGGTTTTGGGGCTTCGCATGGGTGGCCGTCGTTCTGCGAGGAATCGTTTTGATGCACTAGTATTGTACCATAATAACCCCTTTACGAAAATTCACGAAACACAGTAGTTTTGTATATTCAATGAAAGCTCATTAAAACCATCATTCGGAAGTAATATACACAATCTTGAGGACTTCAAAATTGACACGGGTGGCGGCGGGCGACCTGCACTCCAAATGTGGCAATTATCTTCCGGATAAGCATGTTTCGTAAAACCAAAATATGTCGACATACTTTCAGAACTATACATAATCCAAGTACAGAAAATTGCATATTTTGGCTTTACGAAACAGTTTGTTTCGTGTTCCCTGTTTATATCCGGCATATTGTTTCGCCTGTGTTTCGTAAGTCCATACCTCGGACTATTGTATGTTAGTAAGGACAAATCAGCGGCGGATGGAAAGCAATAGTGAGGTGCCCGACGAACGCAATGCAGACACGACGAAGGCGCTTCCTGAGTGAAACGTCATTCCCCTTTCAAAGCTGAGTCGCGTGTCTTCTTTTCCTTTGCGCTCGTCGGGTACATCACTGTTGCATTCCATCCGCCGTTGATTTGTCCTTACTAAATACAATAAATACCACCACCAATTTTGTCCTTGTGGAGTACGCTGAGTACTACAATAAATACCACCACCAATTTTGTCCTTGTGAAGTACGCTGAGTACTACAGTAGTGTAAGTACTTACATATTGTCGAAGTTTTTACTTGTTGAGAAACGGAGAAGGTAGTGTAGGGCAAAAAAGAAGTTGAGGCACATAAGTGCAAGGGTGCCCATAAAGCGAGACAAAACTGAAATTGCTTGCTACGATGAGTACAATTCTAACGTTAAACACCGTGAAATCTGATCACAACGGTACAGCTCCACGCGGTACCTTGAAAACTATTCAGGCATGCTCATTGGTCTAAATCCATCACAGGACTTATATTTCATTGGATAAAAATACTTAACGCATGGTGATTGGATATTTCTGCCCAATTAGAGCAATTAGGTACACGCCCAACCGGAACCATGAAAATGTTCGTCATTGGCCGATATGTTCCAAACCGGTACAGGTCCAACCGAAGAAATCATAGGTACTGAAGCAGGGGGTATACGGTAGTGTAGTCATATCTCATTAGCTAAATCCTACATAATGACACAGCGTAGCACCAATAAGCATGGAGCTACTAGTATCTCCCTGTACTTCTTGCATTCATTTCATCAACATAGCTATTTCCGCAACCAGCCTCTTATATGGACATAAATATACAGAAATATCCCGTGACCATTCTGCGACCAGCCCCTTAAGGGCATCCCCAATGGTACGTTAAGTTGTGAGAGTTTAACAGCCATGAAAATGCGAATTACAGCACTTGGATAGATCTCATTTATTGACGCACAACGCTACGACACTAAAGGCTGGGCACAATATATTGTCCTTGTAACGTTACCTTATTACTACGTAGTAATTTGTCATTTTGATGTGTTGAATCAACGGCGTCATTTCTCATTGATGAGCGCTGTTGCACGTTGCGAAGGATCAAGTATACGTATATCGACCGGCAGAGTCATTGTTTGCTACTAAACGTATAGTATTTGATTGTGCATGAGAATACCGTATGACAAATTTATTTATTGCAGTGATTTCCTGAGTGCTCCGCTCTACGGCAATACACTGTACTAGTACAGTAGTTCATGGAACGAGTTGCTCCAATAAAAACATGGCTTGCATAATTTGAGGGTTAAATTGTCGTAGCATTTGTAGTTTTGATCATGGCCACTCGTTTCAGCTGACGGGTGGTTGCCTCTGCCCTTTACCACACTACTGTACAGAAATATAGTCTATGATTTTACATTACATTACTGTAACGATGGCAAGGTTGCCGACCAAGAATACAGCTTGTCGCACCATTAACGGGAAAGGCCTTGAAGATGCCGTAGAGAAAACCATTTACTTGATGTAGTTTAGCATAGTATACATGTTCGTAGTAAGTAGTTTAAGGCGACAATCTAATCCCTTTCCAATTTACTCTGTGAAGCTCGCTACCGTTACATTTGCTAGCACTTCCAGGTTCAGTTTGGCAGCAAGGACTTACACCGAGGGGTATAGCTCGGAGGTTGTAAGGTTACTCAATCTAGTTCAGGCAAAGGTTCAGCGGCGACCTTTCATAGCGACCAGTGTCGAGTTAGCGATCGCCTAAGTGTTTCTTTTTCGCCGACAGTACTCTCCTTAGTATCCTGCATCAGAGACGGTAGGGGCAGAGTTGACCGTTGGGAAAGGGACATTTGGTGCGTGTGAAGAGTCACTGCCGACAAAAAGAAGCGACTGCGGCGAGTGGGATAGTCAAAAGCTGAGCGAGCGTCAGCAGCAGTGGCGAGCGAGAAGGTTATCCAGCGAGACCTACGCAGCGAGGACAGCGACTTAAGTAGTAACCGAATTAAGTACGCTCTCGACGAACATACCAAGGTCCAGGCAACTTTAAGTCTGTCGTCCGGATACGTAACCGAAGGGATTGACGCGCATTTGTTGGCGAGACGGAAGATCGAAGCGAAGTAACCGAAGATTGACACTAAGGAAGACTTAGTTGATTACCCAGCGAATCTGTAATAAAACCTTTTTTTCAATTCAAATCATGGAGGAAGTGTTTGCGAGGCTAGTTGGGACTATGGAGTACCAACAGCAGATGATCCAACAACTGCTCGAGGCCCAAACCCAAGCACAAGCGCAAGTGTTGACAAATCAACAAGCCCAACAGGAGAATCAACTTAAGGCGCAGCAGGACGTGCAAGAAGCGCTACTTCGATGTGTATCTAGTAACGGTGATCAAGGTAGAAGCCAACCAC